TATACTATAATTTTTCATTTTAATTTTTAAATTGTTTCTATTAAAAGAAATTATTTTTTATTATACACAATTAAACTTTTTTTTGATTGTTAGTTCAGAAATATGTTTCGAGAAGGGTATAGTCAAATGCACACAGAGGTCTAGAAGAAGGCAAAATGCGTAGATAGGACCAAAATTAAACGTGTAGACAGGACCAAAATTGCACCGTCTTTTAAGTTATAGCATTTCTCATCTTTCTAAAGTTGAATATGAAAATTCATTCATATAAACATAGAAGATACAGGAGGTCGAGCAAACTGAACCTCAATGCCTCACGGAAGTCAATAACACAAAAGGGGCATCAACCCAAACATGTTGTAAAGGTCCATCATTTTTTCGAGTAAATCAATAAATAAATAAAGAAGCAAAAACAAAACAAAATAAAGTAACTTTAATCGAGATAAAGAAATAAAAAATAAAAAGAAAAGGGAAGAGTAACAAAAATCACTAGGAATTATTGAATTGGGAAGATTGCTTTAATAATTATATATTACAGTAATATAATAGGAGAAAACTTTAGTAAAGGAGTTATAATTTTTTTTTTATAACAATTGATGAAACGTTTATTGGTTAATAGCGTATAAAGGATGCTCTTATCTATTTAATAAAGGTATAATGGGATAACTTTAATCAATAAATGTAATTTATTGTTTATATATTCTTATAAGATTAGTATTTATTAATTAAAATTTTAAAATCACCTAAATATTATTTTGTTTCAACAAATAGAATGGTAAAAGAATAAAATAATCTCATTTTTGTTTTAAAATAAATTATTTTAGACCAAAAAGACTAAGTTGATAACTGGGACGAAACTTGACCAAAATTTAAGAGGGGGCCATTTTTTTTTATTACATGTTAATATAATAATATAATTATAACATAAGTAATATAAGAGATGACTTTGCTTAGCAAAAATACATTATAAGAGAGGGCTCAACATGAAATATGATATTATAAAATTAAATTATTTCATTTGCTCAAATTATAAGAGTTAAATAGAGGAAATTTTAACAAATAAGAAAATAATTTAAGTTTATAATGTTACAAAATAAAATTGTTACAAAATTTTATATTATAATTTAATAATAACAAAATAAAATTGTTTACTAACATAAAAGATGAGATTATAAAATTAAATTATTTCATTTATATATAATGTGAGCATGAAAGCCAACTAACAAATTATATATGATGAATAACTTTAAAAAATAAGAAATTAAAATTTTTTTTTTGTCATCAGAAACTAAAATTATTTAATCACTTGAAAAAATTAAAAATATATAATACAAAATTAGAGAAAGATAAAAGAGACTTAATATAGAAAATTTTAATTAGCAATGAAATTTGATAATCTATTATGAAAAGAAGAATGATTGAGATGAGGACGAGCAAAGTTTAAGTTTAAAAATTTTAGGACT